CATGCACGCAGCGTGCGCGCAATGCCGCGTAAATTAGTCTATATACGTCTGTGTAGACCAGCCTATATATCTACACGTATAGTAGCTTAGTCTCTATACGTCTGTGTAGACCAGCCTATATATCTACACGTATAGTAGCTTAGCCGCTATACGTCTGTGTAGACCAGCCTATAATATCTACACGTATATAGTAGCTTAGTCTCTATATACGTCTGTGTAGACCAGCCTATATATCTACACGTATAGTAGCTTAGTCTCTATACGTCTGTGTAGACCAGCCTATATATCTACACGTATAGTAGCTGAGCCGCTATACGTCTGTGTATGTGTGTGTGTGTGCGCGCGTGCGTGCATGGTGTTTGCGTGTGTATGTGTGTGCGTGCGTGCGTGCATGGTGTTTGCGTGTATATGTGTGTGCGTGCGTGGCTGCGTGCGTGCATGGTGTTTGCGTGTGTGTGTGCGTGCGTGCGTGTGTTATGTGTATGTGTATGCATATATATACGTATATAATACGTATATATATATAATATGTATATTACATAATACCAGTTTATATGGGACATATGGTCATATACATAAGAAAACCTATGAATTTGAACTATGTACATCAGAAATATCCGTCTATGGGTTGTCTTTTGTTAGACTCAAATGAGTTTTTCCACATATCCAAGGAGGTATTCTCTCCTTAACTTAAGGCAGAGGGCTAGCGTTGAGAAAAACGCAGAATTGCAGAACAAAATTAATGTAAATGGCTCGACCTATGCTATTGATATTTAGTATTCAGAGTGATGGTGAGAAAAACAATCACGTTGGTCAAATTTAAGGGCATGGGGCAAAAGACAGATTTTTGTCGTTTTTGGAAGACGGTCAAGGTCAAGTGAAAAAACTTCTGCAATGACCTATATTTCCATGACTCTATTGAAAGTACCGTGAAATGTACTTTCCATTTATGTGCCAAAAGTAGCAGTCCATTGACCTATTGACCCTGAAGTGGATGGTTGAACATTGATTTGTTTAGTGTAGTGTTTACTGTTAACAAAGGACTAAAGTGACATTTCTAGTGGGGCCAAATACTGTGTGGATGTGAGGGCTAAAATTTTGCAGTTACATGTTAAAAGCAAAACTTGGTTGGATAAAGTTTAAGCTTAAGTCATATTATTTGTGTAAAATGCATTGCATACGTTAGATATGAGATTCTGTAGATAAAGGACCGAGCCGGCCAGCATCACAATCGATACTGATTTTCATATTTTGTCGTGCATCTAATCCGATTGGAATAATATTAATTTACAAAACCTACGCTTATCACTGAATCACGACGACGAACGATGGGTGCTGTCATTTCTGATGATGCTGTCATTGAGCTTGCGCCCCTCATCTCGCGGAATATTTAATGTCATAATTGACTTAAGAGAAGTTTACATACATGGCTATGTTCAGTATCAAATACCGTCCATCGCTTTCTACTCTCAATTACCGACTCCAGCATTCCCTCTTCTTGCTCCAGCATTCCCTCTTCTTGCTCCACCACAGACACCACAGATAAGCACTGTCGATAAAGACCGTATACAATCGTATACAATTGTATGCGGTCTGTGCTGTTGCTCTGTAGTTCTTGTTATCTAACGACCATATACCATAAATGGCATCTCTATCATATCACAGATTTATGTTATGAAGTTTCCCTGGTGCACTTTCTTGGTTGGTAGATCTATTTACAGCAAACGGTAACTCATTGAACTATGGCCACATTGTGTAGGTAGTAGATTGGATACATTGTATATAGTCAACATGTGTAAAGTTATCGGTAAATTAGTTAGATTTTAGGACCATCAAAGTATAAGTACGTATGTGTGTATCATTATGATTCGTTCTTAATGATGTGTATATAGTAAAATATAAATTGTGAACCTCATGCGTTGCTTCAGCAAGCGTCATACTGTGTGGTTTTAAAATGAAAAATAGCTCAAGCTATATATTGAACTTGTGTTTAAAAAAAAATGTAAATTAGAACTAACCTTAATGATACACAAAACGACTTGTGAATTTGCATGGGTTCGGCCATAAAAGAATGTTGGTGAGATTATTACAGTTTTGCATAAATATGTATTTTTGTTCTCTACGGGTTACTAGTTAAATTTGTTTTCATGGAAAGTATTATACTTGGCGTGCTGCGGAAATATAGCTCATTAGAAAGTAAAGGCTTGTAATATAACAGTTTGGAAGTTGTATATGAAGTTTGTACGTAAAGTTTTATTTGTGATTTTGATTATATAGATATCCGTAAACAATTATTAACACCACGTCAAAATGTTACCTTATGTGCGCCATTACAATAGTTAAATATAACAAATTGTATATTTATAAATATACTTAATATTAAAACAAAGATACAGCTGTGTTTCGGTCATTTTTGTAGCTCATTAAAATATATTACAACCGTAACATGTTATTATTGGAGAACTGAAACAAAATAACATCGGTTTAATTATCACTAAACGCAAATGTATCATTATCAAGGTGATCACATTTGATTACACGCGAACGGCGCAAAGTTATTTCACGGAATGTATTTCAAATATGCTCTCGGTACACGCCTCTCTTCCATCTTCCATGGTACATGTTTCAGGAACGGGACATGAGTTTTGAATGGGGGTGATACGTGTACATGCCCTATGAATTACATTTGCAATTAAAAGTAGTAGCGAGAAAGGATAGGAAATCGAGGGTGAGCGTGTATCGTAGGCTCTTTATTTCTGAATAGTTATTGTGATAAATGAATAAATTTCCCCCCGGAATAACGGTTCTTCCCTAGCTTGCTTTAGCTGAAAACAAATTAATTTGTTCGCACATACTTTTGTTTACTTCATTTTAATTTAAATGTATGAGTTTTTGTAGTCAACAGGGGTAGGGGGTCCCTATAGTCCAAAATTGCAGCCACTATAAAGCGCTCTGAATGAGCCAATAATATACCACCCGTTGAGTACAAGCGTGACGGCAAGTTGCACCGTTTAGAAACTCGCCATCGCCATCGGATGATTTATTTCCTCATATTTGCTGTAATATATTTTGTGCTTGCATGTAACAGTAAATAGAGATGTGAGCATTGTAAGCGGAATTTCGGACACGAATAGAATTGCGCACTGTAATATGCTAATCCAGGTTGGGGCGCGTATGATAATGTATCTGAAAAGGTAAACACGCATTTATCTCTAGACCTTGGCATAGCAAAGACCATAATATTATGCTATCATGCCTATCCCAGTAGCAGCGAGTATAGATTTGTCACGATACAATATTGTGTAGGTGTGTGTCGCCTGGTATAGGTTACATAGCTTAGGAGATCGTTGGTAGTTTGCAGTCAGGTTATCGCAAGCACTTTTGGTGGTTGAGCTTGCCAAAAATATATGTACTTTCAATTATATGTGGCTTGTACAAACATAGACGATAGGAAGTTTATCGTGTCAAGAAAGAATATCGATTTAAGTATTTGCACCGATGTCATTTTCTTCATGTGACCGGTTCCCTACAGAACCCTATCAGAAGCGCACGTAGCCAGTGTATATGTTCAAATCGACCTTGGTGCCAGTCCATATCATATCGGAATCAAAGTCTATTAGTATTTGGCCGAGTGGTACCGAATCATCTTTCATTTAGTACATGATTTAGACGCAGTGCCGTCCTCCCTAATAAATCTTGCACGCACCATATACCGATCGTTTCCAACGCCCTTTGAAAGTACGGGCTCAACACGAAAGCATGCTGAGCTCGAATGGCGAGGATGCAGGAAACAGAACGACCAATGTAGAATAAGTCCAGAACGGCGACAAAGAGGAAGACGATCACGACAACGACGACGCCAACATGGAATTGGACTACATGCGAGGACCCCGCACGCACAGCAACACGCAGTGGCAGCTCGGGAAGCAAAACTTGCCGTCCGCGTACGACGATCATCAACAGTCGTTGGGATACGATAATCGAGCGTACTCGCACAGGGACGAGGAGGCAGTGCGGGCGGCGGCTGATGCTGGCGCTAGCGCGCGCGGACACGTAGCCAGGGCGCCTACGTCTGCTGGTAGTAACCACGTCATGAAGTCGTCTGCAGCGAATCCGGCGTTTATTCTTGACGACGAGCAGATCGTGCGCATGTTCGCGCACGACCCGACAAGGCTGAGCGCCGACAGCATGCGGCTACACTACTCGGATTCCGGTGAGCTGATCGCATCCGACCTGGACGGAGATCTGCCGATCGGTTTCAGAAACCCTCGGCACGACTCGTCCATTCCGATTACGGAATTCGACAGACAGCGCAGCTACAGCTTGGTAAGCGAGAGAGCACGCAGCGCTCGTTGGTATCAAGATGTCGCCGTCACATCCCGACATTCGTGTCGCAGACACACAACGAGCGCACGCACGCACGCAGACACACAAACGAGCGCGCTCACGCATGCAACGTACAGTGACGGCGTGAAAATTCCCAGCAAGATATACTTCTTGAATATCATACTATCAGGAGCGAATATATAATAATATATATTATATATATATATATATATATATTATTCACTCCTGATACTATCGTCTACTCTCTCGTTTTACAACAGAATCGCCATCGCGTTGTGTAACCTAGGCCTGTAGCTAGCTGGGGTGGGGTGGGGGTGCAAGGGGGGTCAGGGGGCAGTTGAGCCTTCACCAAGAAGGAGATACAATACATGGTCAGTGGCGGTCACCTTCCCAGAACACACAACGAACGTGGCTTTAGCCCCCCCCCCCCACATGTAAAATGGGTTAGCTACGCTCCTCACGAATGCTCAGCAGCAAGTTGCGTGCGTGCGCTCGTTTGTGTGTCTGCATGTCTGCGTGCGTGCGCTCGTTTGTGTGTCTGCGTGCGTGCGTGCGCTCGTTGTGTGTCTGCATGTCTGCGTGCGTGCGCGTCGTTGGTGTCTGCGTGCGTGCGTGCGCTCGTTGTGTGTCTGCATGTCTGCGTGCGTGCGCGTCGTTGGTGTCTGCGTGCGTG